GAAGCTCACGTGGTCAGACGGCAGCCCTTCTACAGTGGCTTAAAATATCACCCCTGGACCTGTGCTTCAGAATTCACATATGCCGGGTTTGGCCTTCTTGCTTGCTCGTGTGTTGTGGCCTCAGCATGGTGCCTTGTCTGTGTTGGTCTGAGGAGAAGGACAGCCCGTTCTTCATGCTACTTGAGATTGTCAACTAAGAATAAAGGCCAAGATTAATGAATGCCTCCGGTGTCCCTTCTGTGCAGCCATTTCTACTTTCTGGCCCATGTTTTCCCCATCTAATGCAAGGGTCTTCAAACTTGGCACATTTAAGACTTGTGGACTTCAACTCCCAGAATTCCTGAGCTAACATGACTGGTGGAGGAATTCTGGGAGTTGAAGTCCACAAGTCTTAAATGTGCCAAGTTTGAAGGCCCCTGATCTAATATCCTGAACCTAGGAAAATACTTGCTATGAATACAGGTAATCCTCAACTTACAACCACAAGCCCAATGTTTCTGTTGCTAAGTGAGGAATTTGTTAAGAGAGTTTTACCATTTTTCTTGCCACATTTCTTAAGAGAATCACTGCCATTAGTAACACAGTGGTTAATCTGGTTTCTCCGTTGACTTTGCTTTTTGGGGAGTTTGGAAAAGGGGATCACATGACCCCAGGATACTGCAACTGTCATAAATGTGAGTCATTTGTCAAGCATCCGCATGTCAATCACGTGGCTAGGTGCACTAAGTCACTGCTATGGTTATAAGTGTGAAAAACGATCACAAGTCACTTTTTTCAGTCCCGTTGTAACTTTGAACGGTCACTAAATGAAGTGTTATAAGTTGAGAGCTACCTGTATAGAAAATACATAACAGCAAACTGCATTCTGTTTTCACATGTGATCCTGCTTTATCAGTATAGATATAATACGAATTTTGTCTGCATAATCTCTAACAATCCTTTGGATTGCAGTTGGGATGATGATTATTATGGTTGGTTGCAAAGTGAGCCAGATGATTAGACTGGGTTGGGCATTATTTTATTCACCTATCAAGCTCCTCCCGAGGACCTGGGATAATCGCCATGCATTGTTGTGGAATAACTAAATTTATCATCATAGAATGTAAGCTGTTCCATGTAAAGCTGCCTTTTGCAATTGACCGATAGCGATTTTTGTCAATGCCAATGGTGTTCAGTGTTGCTTGAGATTGTTATTATTATATCACATGGTGGTCAATGCAATGGAGACAACATATCTAATACTCCTGCTTTTTATATTCCCCATAACAACAACCCAGTGAGGCAGGTTGGACTAAGAGACAGTGACTGTCCCAAAATCATCCAGCCACTTTTTGTGCCTAAGACAGGATTGGAACTCAGAGTTTCCTGGCTTCCGGGCCAGCATCTTAACCACTACACCAAACTGGCTCTAGCCATGAGTATCTAAGGAGCCCCGAATTGTATCTCTCTCAGTGTCTAAAGCCACGCAAGCTGCTATGTAAAGAGATAATTTGAGCTGTCAGGAATTTTTACTGTGGGTAATAGAGATCATTTAGCTAGTTTAGTCAGTGGATGGTTTCACATATTCTGTGAAGGCATAATACCTATTACTTCATTTGCTTTTTGTTCAGTATGTATGAACCCAGTCCCTTGTTTGAAAAGTGTATGGTAAAATATATGGATTTAAGCTATTAAAATAAACCTTGGTTTTGCGTGATCCATAAATGCAGCTGGGCTTGGTTCAAGGCAGTGTTGATCCTCAACAGCTTCAAGATGTGTGGACTTTTAACTCCCAGAATACCCCAGTCAGTATAGCTGGAGTAAGGCAACTTTCTATGGGTGACCCATCTAGCCAAAAATACTCCGTGCAGCAAATGGGCCGTTTACACCTTGTTGCAAAGAAGAGGGGTAATTCAAAAAAGAGGAGACAGAAGGGCACCTTTACAAGTCCAGCACAAATTCAGAATACACGACTGATTTAAATAGAAATACAAGGCACTGGACACAAACGGAGATGATTAACAGCTTCATCCAGCTTCCCAAACGTGCATACATAAGTAAATTTTCGGTCTAAGTTTGCAGTCTAAATCTGGTTGTCTAAAACAGGGTTGTCTAAACCAACTTTTCAGATCTCAGGGACCACTAAATTCATAATTTTAAACCCCGCGGACCACTGATATGATCCTGCCTAATGACCGGCTGGGTGGGTGTGGCTAGGTGGTCATGTGACTGGGTGGGTATGGCCAACTTGATGTCACTCATATCGAGGGGCACTTCGCCATGCTCTTCTCCCCTCTCCCAGCCACTCCTCGCCTGCCTACCCGGGCTCCTTAGGGCCCCAACAGGAAGCAATTATAGCTAAGCAACCACCACAAGAAAGAGTTGGCAAAACAGCTGGCTCAGTTCAAATTGGATCTGACCGAGGAGGAGGCTCAGCAGAAGCACCTCACTGAGGACTATGAGCATAGGTTTTCCAAGCAGAGGGAAGACCTGCGGGAGTGCAAGGCCAGGTACCAGCACCTGGAGGCTTAGCAGACTGAGATGGTCAGCCAGTTCCAGGCCATGATGCAGTCCCACTCCGGCTCTTCCCTCCAGCCTTCGCCCAAAGCCCCACACTAAGAGGCTGAAGCAGACCCCAAGTTGGAATTTCTGCCCCCCTCTGACCTGCACAAAAATACCCCGAAGAAGGAGACTCTCTGCAGCAACACAAACATTCATTGCATGTATCCTACCCAAGGGCCATTGTTAGGAATATAAGTCACCTAACAGGTATTTGGGTTAGAAATATATAAACCAGGATAAACATTTTAGTACTATATCTTTAAGGGAATGCAAGAGCATGCAATTGGGTGTGGTTTCTCAAACGGCCATAAGATGGAGCCAGAAACCTGGGTTGTTTCAGTCTTAGTCTCAGAAGAGAGAGTGTCTGAGTGAGTATCTCTGTTTCCTTCTGTTGGAAAGTATTGCTGTTCCTCCATTTTTCATAATTGACTGATATTACTGGATTTAATGTAAGTCTGATACTGAACTGTTTTTGACACTGGAATTTGATATTTCGATTATCCCTGGATTGAAAAACTGACTGATTTACCTGTGAATGACTTTTGGACTGCTTATTTTGGACTTTGCTTAAACCTTTCTGGAAGTAAAAACCTACATTTACTGTACAGTGTATCTGTGTGCTCTGTGTGTATTATTCCAACACTACTCTCTATACATCTCCCTGTATGTGCTCATTCTCCTAACGTGGAATTACCTCAAAAGCCATAGTTTGAGGACCCCTGATTTGGTGCAATATGAAATTATGCAAATATTTTTTCTGTGGACCACCAAAGTTTTCTTGTGGATCAGCGGTGGTCCACGGACCACCAGTTGGTGACCGCTGATCTAAAAAAACCAGTTTTGTCCATGCAAATGAATTGGGATTACAGCTTCCACATTTGCTGGCACTGAATGTTCTGGAGCAGTGGCCCCCAACCTTTTGGGCACCAAAGGCCAGTTCTGTAGAGAGGTGTTTTTCCGTGGACTGGAGGGGGTGTGGTCTTGTGTGCTGCTTGCATCCCACAGATTGGGCTTCACTTGTCTGTGTGGCCCAATTTTTGGCATGCCACTGCCCGTTGCCAGTCTGGAGACCTCCACACACTTGGAAGGCTGTTGGGAACGGTTTCCATTAGAGGACTCCCATCAAGTGGAGTTCTGTTGTCACATTGCATTTCAGAGGTGTATTCTCTGTAACCACCAGAAAACTGGTTGGCTCAGCAGTTAAGACCCTGGATTTGTCGGCTGGAAAGCCACCAGCCCACGTCTGAGACCCACACGCCACACGATGGGGCGAGTTCCTGTCCTCACTGCAGCTCTGCCAACTTAACAGTTCGAAAGCAAACAAATGCAAGTAGATAAATAGGTACCACTTCCGGTGGGAAGGTAACAGCACTCTGTCACGTCATGCTGGCTACATCACCACGGAAATGTCTTCAGATAGTGCTGGTTCAATAGCCTTGAAATGAAGAACGAGTACCATCTCCTTTATTTGGCAACTACTAGCTGAGTAAAATCCCAATGAACTCATTTATCCTTTTATTCTCTGTAACAAAATGGTTGCTGTCCCTATAAGAACCTAAGGAGCTTTCAACTGGCTTGAAATACTAGTTTCCCAACCCAAAGGGGGGAAATAACGTATGTTTTCACAATGCCTGACAATCCATGATATATAGATGGTCCCAAA